CTTCTCCTTGGACCCTTGAGCTCTTTTCTCTGTGAACCTTGAGATGAGTCTCTTTTCTTATTCTATAACCCCTTATTATTATGAAAGATATGGTTAGCCTCAAACCTTGCCAGGCCCCATGCAGTAAACTTGTTTTCTTTATACCAGCTTCTCCAAGGACCACCTGATAGTTCTGTCACAGACTGGCTTTGTGACTTCAACCTAATCTTTTAACCCTTTCTCTCATCCAGAGAGCACTGGACAAATATTCCTAAAATTCCTTCCTGCACTCACATGCTATGAGTTTGTGATTCACCAATGAGACACAGATTTTAGAGTAGTAAAACTTATGCTGAATCTTTTAATAACTCTGGCTTTTACTGATCTCTCCTCTGTGTTGTGGGGTATGAATGAGCGTGTGTGTGTGTGTTAACCACTTACAACATTCCTGGTACTATGAAATTAACACCATACTATGACTGCTTCTGAATCACGGGGTAATAAAAATGATGCTTGGCTGCTAAGTGAATGCTTGAAAATTCAAGTCCATACAGAGGGACTTTGGAAAAAAGCCCCGGTGACTGACTTCCTATAAATCATCAGTTGAAAACTCTGAAGAGCACAGTTCTATTATGACACACATGGGGTCACTGCAAAGCAGAGTAGACTCAGTGGCAAATGGTTTACTCATATGCCTGCTTCATATGAATGCTTTATGCGATCCATAAATGCACATTATTGGCTATTAGGTGGGGAATTGATTTTGATTTATGAACTACCATATCTGACCAAATAAAACTGACCCACAGAGATTTCTAGGCAATCACCTAATGGGCTATAAGAGTTGGTGGTGCAGTTGTCAAACTGTCCAGTCACTAACCCAAAGGTAGGCAGTTCAAACCTACCAGGTTATCTTTGAGAGAAATATGAGACAGTCAGCTTTGATAAAGATTGTAACCCTGGAAACCTTATAGGATATTTCCACTGTGTCCTGTAAGGCGCACTGGAATTATATTGGAATATATGCATTGGAATGAGCTCAAAGACAGATTTGTTTCATGGTTTTAGTTCCCTGGGTGTTTGTCTCATGGAGCTACTGGATTTGTCTGAATTGCCAATTTTTCAGTAAGCAGCTAAGCACTTCACCATTTTTGTCACCAGGACTCTTTTTATATTCACACACACACACACACACACATGCATATCTCCCCCCACATTGTTCATTGCTGCCTCATCTCCTGGAAGTTTATATAAGTCTTTCCTCAACCAAAGGATATGATTAATTCTCTTGTACTTCATAGACAGCCCAAAGCACACAACTGAGAGCAAAGAAAACAAAATAATCTCAACTTCCAACCCTTAAGTCAGATTTACTGAGCCCCTGCTTCCGACGGCATTGTGCAGGAATGCGAACTAATGTGAGATTTTGGGTGAGAGGAAAAAATAAAGCAAGTGAGGTAGAAGAACTCAAGGAAAAATAAACGTGTGACTCTGTATATTCCCAACTTTGATGCAGATCTCCCACTGGGCGGAGTCAGGAGCCATGACTCTTTTTGCTGTTTGCTCATTCTTGGACTCGGGGACCATAACTCCACAGGACTGGGCTATCTGCTCTGTCCTCTGAATTACTGGTACTCAACAGGGTGCTTGGCATAGTTCTTTAACTAAGGGAACTGGGGAAGTCTCTTAACACCAGTCTTAATCATTTATAAAATGGAAATAATAATAATAATAACTACCCTGCCTAGCCCATAAAATGTGTAAGATGAAAAGCTAAAACTAGCATCTGAACTTTATATAAAGCACTGCTCAAAGACATTTGATGTTGGTTTCTCCATAAAAATATGTCAGTGTCATATGCTCCAGCTTCTGCTTCCTTTGTTTTTGCTTGTCCTTTGGGTGTTTGTATTGTTATGTCTTTGTCCCCTCAGACTAAAAAATGAATGTCATTCTCCCAAATACCAGAAACCAAGAATTGGTTAAAACACTGGCGTAAGCCTTAGACTAGGAAAAAGATAAGTTTAAAATTAACCAAAGAAGATGATAATTCTGAGTCAGATGGTAAAGCAATAAAGAAAAACCTCCTCATTATGAGAGAGTATTCTTAGTTTCAGATGCTTAATGACCATAGAGAAGGAAGGCACCATCTGGCATTATTGCAATGTTGTTTCTTAATAATAAATTTCACAGAACCCCAAAGAGATACTCTGGAGGATGCAGGAAAAAGCCAAAGAATGGGATTCTTGGACACTGGAAGTATTGCTTAATAATGTCCATATCCGTCCTCTCTTGTTGATGGAACCAGCATGTTCTTGGTGTCCTCATAGAGGTTGGGGACCAGCCATGAAACACAATTCCTTTGGAGATATTTAACCCTCATCAAGACCATGGCCACCGCGGAGCTTAGATACATGACTGGAATTTAATCAGAGAAATTAAATGCACTATGGGACATGGAAAATTCAACTAAAAACTCAACTCATTGCAATCAAGCCAGAGCCATAGATGACCTTCCAGTATGTTTTCAGAGGCTGTAAATTGCATGGAAGAAGATAGCCCAGCTTTCTCCCATGTAGCAGCTGGTATAGTCAAACCTTCTGCCTCTGGGTCGGCAGTGCAGTTCCTTATCCACTAAGCCATCAAACTTTCCTGTTGTTGTTAGGTGCCACTGAGTCAAGTACGACTCACAGGGATCCTATGAACAACAGATCAGAACTGTGGCTGGTCCCGTGCTATCCTCCTCATCATCACTGACATACTGGAGGCCAGTGCTGCACTTACTATGTGGATCCATCTCATCGAGGGTCTTTCTCTCTTTTGTTGACATTCTATCTTTCCAAGCTTGATGTCCCTTTCCAAGGAAAAGCTCCTCCTAACAGCATGCCCAAAGTATGGGAGACAAAGTTTTGCATCCTTGCCTCCAAGGAGCACTCTAGCTGCATTCTCCCCCAACCCCCAAGACATATCTGTCTCTGCTTTTGGCAATCCATAGGATATTCACTGTTCACTAACATCACAACACAAAGTCATCAATTCTTCTTCTGTCATCCTTATTCATTGTCCAGCTCTTGGATGTATAGCAAGTGATGAAAAAGATCATGAATCTATGAATCAGGGTCAAAATAGTATCTTGAGTCTATCTCACCTGAATCTAAAAATTATCTCCAGAGCGGGTTTGAGGCATTGAACACTAATGATTGAAGATCAGATGGGTTATGGGATGACATCAAATATATCATCCATGAAGAAAGCAAAGGGTCATTACAAAGACAGAGGAGGGGGGAAAAGACCAAAATGGATGTCAGATGAGACTCTGAAAATTGTACTAGAGCATCAAGAAGTCAAAATAAAGGGAAGAAATGTTAAAGCAAAAGAGATTAACAGAATATTTCAAAGGGCAACTCAAGATGAAGTATTAAAATGGAATGTGTAAAGAGCTGGAATTGGAGAATGAAAAGTAAAGAATTCACTCAGTATTTCTAAAGTTGAAAGAAGTGAAAAACAATTTGAAACCTTGAGTTGCAATATTGAAAGATGCTATGGGCAAAATCTTGAATCTTGAAGAGCTCCCTAAGAAAGAGAAATGAAATATGTAGAAAACAGTTTCAGGCTTTTAAAACTTGTTTCCATTATTTACTTCTACAGCATCTACTTGATAGGTCTCCAACTGTGTTCTAAATACTTTATCAAGAAGATATCATTTAATTCTCACAAATCTCCAAGACAGTAAGCTCTGGTGATATAGACCTAGGGAGGTGCAATGTTAACCCAAGGCTGAGTCTCACTGGTAATTTACACACATGGGAGGAAAATGGGCAATCTCTGCCTGTGTGATTTATAGCCTTGGAAACCCACTGGAGAGTCAGCTATGAGTCTGTTCCAACTCAAGAACAATGTGGAAAACTTAAAACCCTTCCAGGTAAACATCATCATTCCTATTTCTCTCTCCCACCCAGAGGAGGACCCTAAGACAAGAAGTTGAGTAACTTTTGCTGATTTAAATCAAAGTTGCCTGACCCTAGAGCCCCAGAGCATCTGGCACCGCACCCGTGTGCTACCTATTTTATATCTTCTGGAAGCCTGAGTTCATTTGAAAGAATAACCTCCCCCCCCCCCCCCCAATCCTACTCCTTTCCTAAAGAGTAGCTCTTTTCATTGTACAGACATATCTGGGATATATTGCATGGTTGTTTCTAGACCACTGCAATAAAGCATATAGGACAATAGAGGGAGCCAAACAGGTGTTTTTTGTTTGTTTTTTTCCTAGTGGGCCTAGTCTATGAGTCGCAAGTGACACTGCAAACAACTCAAGGGCACATAACAACAACACAATATGTGGGCCTAGTAGTCAAAAGCTGTGCTGCTAATAACAACAACAGAACAAGTGGGCTGAGTAGTAAAAAGCCGTGCTGCTAACCAGAAGGCATATGGTTCGATTCCACCATCTTTCTCTGTGGGATAAAGAAGGCAATCTCCTCTCATGTGATTTACAGCTTCTGAAAATCTACTGATAGGTCAGCTATCAGCTATGAGTTGACTCTGACTCAACGGCACACAACAACAGTGCAAAATACCTTACATTTCTGTGTAGATTATGCAGGTGCCTATTAAGTGTGCAAAAGCATTATGAAAAAGTTTGAAACAATTTATTACTAAAATATGGCACAGAAACACAGGGAGAGCATACACTGTTGAAAAAATGCCCGGTTGTCATAAACCTTCCATTGGTAAAAAAAAAAAAAAAGTAATACCTGCATAGTGCAATAAAGCAACACTCAATAAAATAAGTTGTGTCTGTGGTTGAAGCGCTTCTTCTGTCTGCCCTACTGAGTGTTTGGTCTGGGAGTAGTTGGAGTAGCCACAGGTTCATAAATAATAAATAAAATGAAAAAAAAATAAAAAATAAAATAAAATGGTCTTTGAAATCACATCTTCCTTGGGTTATAGTTTTGGTTAACTATGTGTCAAAAATCTTAGCTCCCAGACAAGGAGAGGATGTAAAACTCTGAGCCCTGTGTTACCTGGACTTCATTCCCATTGGTCATCTCCCAGGAGCCATAATGCCCCTTCTCCTGCCGGAAGAACTGCACAGCTTCTAAAAATGCTTGGGCTTCAAACGTCGTCTGCTTCGTGTAATCTAAAGGAAAGAGGCAAGGGAATTTAGCAAAGGAAAACCACTTTTATATATTTATATGATTCTTCAACTGGAATGGTTCAGAGACCTTGTGTTACCAGAATATTATAAGGGCTAGAATCATGAGGCAGAAAATGCAAGTGCTGATTTCCATATGTATATGAAATTACTAAGGAGTTTTAGAGACATGGTGATTAACTGATTGGCTACTAACCAAAAAGTTGGCAGTTTGAACCCATTAGCTGCTCTAAGGGAGAAAGATGTGGCAGGATGCTTTTGTAAAGATAACAAGTTTGGAAATCCTATGAGACAGTTCTCTGTCCTACAGGGGTGCTGTAAGTCAGAACCAACTCGACAGCAATGGCTTCTTCTTGGGTTTATCATATTACTTGCTCAGTACACTAGTTGATTAATTCTATCTTGAAGATAGTAGGCAAACTGCTTAAAATGAGAAACCAGTCCCTTCAATTTTTTTCTGTTTCATAATGCTTCCCTTTCTCTCTGGGGAGCTCTTAATGACTCAGTGGCAAGAAGGTGCTCTGCCAACCCAAAGCCATCAGTTTGAACCCACCAGCTGCTCCCACAGGGAAAAGATGGATCTTCTCCTGCATAATTTACTGCTTCTGAAAATCTGCCAGAGGGTTAGCTATGAGTTGGTTCTGACTCAATGACAAGTAATAACAATAACTCTAATCCCAGGCACCTTGGAAACCTTATGCTATAAATGCTAACACCTCACTCTCAGGCAAGCTCTCTCTAAATAGGGGTTTGTTTTGTTTTGTGAGGTTTTTTTAAATGTAAATAGGTTTTATTTTATTGGTAGTAGCAGTTGTTATGTATACTTTCTATTGTCAGGTTCTGTGGTCAACAAATATCTCACTTGCTGTTCAAAGAATTGTTTAGAGGTTAATATTTTAGTATTACCATAGCATGGGTGAAGAAATGAAAACTTATGTTTATATGCTTCTTTTAAGAATATATCTGGTAATTGTAGAATCAGATAATTGATCCATATAACTAAAATGATTATATATATATAAATAATTTCCATTGCAAAGGGCTCAAATACATTGATTGACATGAAAGAGATAGGGCTAGGCATTTGTTATTTTGTTTTGTTTTGTTTGTCAAAAATTAGATATTGGATTCTAAATCATGTGATATGTAGGTAGATGGATGGGTGGATGGATGGATGGATAGATAGAAAGAGAAATCCTACTATTTGAGTAGATTTTAACGTACAGTGAGCCTTTATTGAGTTTCTTTTTTTTATTATTTTCTTTTTTTAAATTGAGATTTTAATGAAAGTTTATAGAGAACTTGGATTTCCATTCATTCATTGTTGCACATTTTCCTCCCTGTCCTCCCTTCCCTCAGTTAACTTTTTTCCTTTGGGGAAAAAAATAAATAATCCTTCATTGTTATACAGTCTCCAGTCCACTTTACTATATAGCACTTATTCAGGACTCTGGTTATTCCAATAATACCTAATCATATATTCCCTTTATACAGTTATCTCCCTCGTCTACATTATTTATCCCCTCTTATCTTAGTTTCCTCCCAACCCCCATGACAGTCCTGTTTTATAACAGAGGCATTATGCAGTATTTGTCTTTTTGTGACTAAGATATTTCACTCAGCGTAATGTCCTCCAGGGTCACTAATTCTGTATAATATTTCATGAGTTCCTTGTTTTTCAATGCTGCATAATATTCCATTGTGTGAATATACCACAGGGTCTCTAACCATTAGTTTGTTGATGGACACTTGGGTTGTTTCCACCTCTTTGCTACTGTGAACAAATCAGCAATAAACATGGGTGTGCATATATCTGCCTGGGTGGCAGCTCTGATTTCTTTAGGTTATATTCCCAGTAGTGGAATTGCTGGGTCAAATGGTATTTCTATTTCCTACTTTTTGAGAAAGCTCCATACTGCCTTCCATAGTGGTTGCACCATTACACACTCCCACCAACAGTGAATAAGGGTTCCAGTTTCTACACAACCTTGCTATCATTTGTTATTTGCTGCTCTGCTGAATTTTGCTATTCTTACTGGGATGAGATGATATCTCATAGTTGTTAAATAGGGGGTTTTTTTGGTGGTGGTTGTTGTTGTTGTTATGTGCCGTCAAGTCACTTGTGACTCATAGCGACCCTATCTATGTACAACATCCCTAAACTCTGCTCTGTCCTATGCCAATCGCACCGTCTCTGATACACCCATCCTGACTACCCCAGACATTGAATCAATCCACCTCATAAGGGGCCTTCCCCTTCTGCACTGTCCCTTCACCCTGCCAAGCATGATGTCCCTCTCCAAGGATCTGTCCCTACTTGCAACATATCCAAAGTATGTTAGACGGAGCCTTAGAATCCTTGCCTCCAAGGAGCAGCCCGGTTTGACCCTTTCCAGGATAAATCTGTTTGTTTTCCTAGCAGTCCATGGTACCCTCCATACTCTTCTCCAGCACCACAGCTCAAAGGCATCAATTCTCCTTCTGTCCTCCTTAGTCATTATCCAACTCTCTGATGCATAACAAGTGATTGCAAAGACCATGGCCTGTATCAGATGCACCTTTCTCCAGTTTCCCAAACAAAGCTCCAATTTCTTTGTGACTTGATTACACCTGTCTGTCAAAAGGATATCAATATAGCACATTAACCTTATAATAACTATGTAAAAGGTTGGGCAGTCTCCTCCTGTGTGATTAACTGCTTCTGAAAACCCACCAGAGGGTCAACTATGGGTTGGTTCTGACTCTCTGGTATACAACAACAAATAATTTTAGTAACTATGTAAATGCTTGGCAATAATAGCTTGTTCATACAGTAGGATAAAGGAACCCTGATGACACAATAGTTAGTACTTGGCCAGTAGTTCAAACCCACCAATGTATCCATGGGAGAAAGGACCCGGTGATTTATTCCCATCAAGATTATGACCTAGGAAACCTTAAAGGGCAGTTCCAGTGTTGTATAGTATTGCTATGAGTAGAAGTCTATTTATTGGCACCCAACAACATAGTAGGATATGTTGTAGGCACTTTATATATCACAATGACATCTCACTAAAATTTCTGAGTGGGTGCTACCATCATCTCCATTTTGTAGATGAGAAGTCTCAGGCGCAGAGAGTCTGAGGTCAGAAGCCTGAAGTTCTACAGCTCATAAGTGGCAGAGGAAGGTGGGATATGGACTTGAGCAGTCTAACTTCAGAAACTGTACACCGCCTCACTGACAATTTTATAAGTTTACCTTCCCATATACATGTTTGAAAAGATGATCTTCTGGTCATCATTCCAACACAAGGGTAAAAAAAAACATTCTACTGGGAAGAGTTTAGGCACAGTTAGGGGAGTGGAGCTGAGCGACCTCAGAGCGCCACAATTCTCAATTCACACTATGCATACAATGTGTACATATCTCAAACACATAAAGTTAGCTCTGACAGCAGAGTAATAGGAATCTCAGGGAATGGAGTTAAATAATATAACAATTGAGAAAGGAATTCTTGTTGATAGATGCCGTCGAGTTGACCAAACTCAGCAATTCTGTGAGCAAGAGATTGGAACCTTACCCTAACCTAAAGGTTTGTTCTCATTGTTATGTACCATTGAGTTGGAACCAACTCATAGCAGAGCCCCCAGTGGGTTTCCTGAGGCAGTAAATCTCCAAGAAGGAGAATTCCCATCCTTCGCTCAAGAAGCAGCTGTTCGATTGCCTTGGTGTTGGCAGCACAGCTGCTCTCCAATCTTACAAAGGGGAAATAACATGGGCAAAACGAGTGTCCTGACTCTGCCCTCACCCCAGAGGACGCAAAGTATTCTCACAAATAGCACAGAATCCTCACATTGTACTGTTGAGCTGATTCCATTGTAATCCTACAGGACGAAAGTGGAACTGTCCCTTACCATTTCTTTACAGGAGCAGATAACCAGTTCTTTTCTCTTCAGAGCAGCAGGTGGGTTTGAATCAACAACTTTCTGGTTAGCAGCCAAGCACTTACTCATTGAAAGCCACAAATTCACCAGAGGGACCTCAGAACCTTAGACAGTGGGAGTGCTCGGTCAAGGTCTGAATGACTGATTTGGAAAATGGGGCAGAAATGAAAGAGATGAATTTGTGATGAAGGATTGTTGTCGTTAACTGACCGACTTATGGTCAGTCCATGTCCAGAATGAAATGCTGCCCACACCTATGTCATACTCAAGATGAGTTGCAGATCTGACAGGTGTGATAGCTTTGGTTTGTTTGTTTTGTTTTTTTTGGGGGGGTGGTACTATTTCTTTTTATTAATTTTAATGAACATTTACAGAGATTTTGGATTTCCATCCATTCATTGTTGCACTTTCTCCCTGCCCAGTGCTCCCCCACCCCAGTTCACTCCTCTCTTTGAAAAGTAAAAGAAAAACTCTTTCATTGTTATGCAATTGCCCCGCACCCCCCCACCCCAAGTACACTCCACTATGCAACCTTAATTTTGGACTCTTGTGATAACCATAATACCCTATCATATATCACTTTTAAACTGTTCTATCCCTCATCTGTTTCAATGCAGTATACTTAATTTATCTAGTTTTTCTCAGTCTTACCCCAACCCTGATGTAAGTCCCATTCTACAACAGTGGCACCATGCAGTATTTTTCCTTTTTTGACTGAGATACCTCACTCAGCATAATGTCCTCCGAGGTCACCCATTTTGAATAATATTACATAAGTTCCTTGTTTTTTAATGCAGCATAATATTCCATTGTGCGAATATACCACAGCCTCTCTATCCATTTGTTTGTTGATGGGCACTTGGGTTGTTTCCAACTCCTTGTTATTGTGAACAAAGCCGCGATAAATATGGTGTGCATGTGATCGTTTTTATTGGCTGACTTTCAGAAGTAGATTACCAGGCTTTTCTTCCCAATCTGTTCACAGTCTAGAAGCTCCACTGAAACCTGTTCGGTAACACAGTCACAGGTGAGCTTCCACTGACAGAAGGCTGTGGCTTCAT